AAATCCTTTAAAGGGAATCAATATTTTGGGCATTCTTCCACTAAACTCTAGTATGTGAGAGCCTGACATAATGACACCCAACGTATTGACCAGGTTCATCATGCAGCTTTGAACTAAAAGAAAAGAAATAAATAGTTCATTTCACATGCTTCAATCTAGAGACATAATAAAGTAATTTTAAGGTTTAGAATCTATGTATTTAAAATTGCAGGACACAATCAAGGTTTGCTTCTAAGGTCTCTTGATCATTAATTAAATATGTTATGGCTTTCAGTTGTTCTGGTTTATCTGTGCAGGTTTACATGTTGTAAATGCATTATTTATATTTTTCCCTAAGTGCTTAGTGCTGCCAGGGTGTTTCTCTTAAACTGGCACAGTTAGCAAAAGAGACAGAAGGAGAGAGAGCAAATTTGGCATTGGTTAGCTGCATAGAAAGCTACTTGAATACATGTGCCCAAATGTGAGCCTTCCCCGGGTGTATTTTAATATACTTGCACTATTAAATACATGTAAATATATACACATATATATATCATTGCTGTTTAAACTGGTGAAAAATATTTTTGCATTAAGATAAGTTTTGTTTGTTTCATTTTATCTTTTTAATCTCATCCTAATAACCTATTACCACTTAGCTTTGCTGCTTTTGTTCTGAAAAGCTCTCATATGAAGGGTGAGAAGGGAGCTATCTACATGGAAGTTCGCTCTCTGGGGGGGAGCCATCACTGGAGTGGGCTTTGTAATTACAGCTAAAACACACGTTGTGGAATCCATCATTTGCTGAGCTTTGAAGAAAGGAAATCGCTGCCGAAAGGAAATCGCGCCACCCCCATGAATACTGCACCGGTTGTCTTCCTCCATTTCTTCCAGGAAACAGAGTAGCACGGATGTGGTGGCAGATCTTGCGTTGTTTTAAAATGTTATATAGCTCCCATGCACTCTCATGAAAGCTGCTTGTTTTAAAATGAATAAATGCTTTTGTTCTATTTCTTTTGCTATAAATGTGCTATAGCAATTGTATGTTAAGGCAGATAATCCACAGTAACTCTGCTGACTAGTACATCTTTGATCTTTTTCAGTTTTCTCTGCCTCTTCATTGTGTTCTTCCACCACTCAAATGTTTCATTTCGATCCTAAATAATACTTTCTGTTCAGCTCTTTGTGATGTTAGGAATTTTTCAGTTTTCTATTTAAAAGTTCCCTCATTCGTAGTAGATAGCACTATAAATGACTAACTGAAACATAGACTTAATTATCTTCTTAAATAGCCATTACCTGTATTCCTTGCTCAGTTCTACAAATGTTTGATGCTTTTTTTAAACAAATTTTGCCTCTTCCATTTCCCAGTGTTATGTTTCCCCATGTTATGTTATGAAAACAGCTATCTTGATTCAGACCAGAGGTCTGTCAGGGTGAGATGCCATCTCTAACGCTGCATGCCTATAGAAGAGAGGAACAAAAGAAGCTCCTCCTAGGTTTTCTTCTAGCTTCCAGGAGATGCAGTTCAGAAATTTTCTATGCCAAAGATATTGTCTGTGCGTTTAATAACCTTCTGCAAGTTTTTCTTTGATGTAATTTTTTTTTGTATTCATATCACCTGCTTCTTTATTTACACACTGTATGGCGAATCATCTTCTTGTTTAGTTTGTTTTGAACTAGCCATCTGCTATTTTCATCTAATGCAATCTATTTCTTTTTTTGGAAGAGAGAGGAAGCAGTCATTCTGTCTTCACCATCACCATGTTACTTAAGGCTTTATAGACCTCTGCTCTCAGACATCTCTTCTCCAGGCTGGAGTGTTCTGGTCTTCCTACTTGCTCCTGTGCAGAAGTAGCTCCATGCCTTTCAGCACCGTTGTCCCCTGGCTGTTCGAGGACAGAATACCGTTAAACCTGTGCAGCTAACGTGAGCTGAGAGCAACACGTTTCATCCCTTGGGGCAGTGAACAAGGTGTGGTCTTGAAGGATGATGTTAAAAGTACAATCCAAATATATTTTCCACTCTATTTAAATGGAAGTATTTCCACTGTATTTAAAGGGAAGTAAGCTAAAGAGTAATTGCAGCAAGTCTTCTCAAGAGTCTCTTCACAATTTTCTTAGAGTAATACCATAGAATGGTTTACAGCTGATGTGGAATAATCAAGAGTATCCTCATCTTTTAACTAGATATGGAATCAGCATTTCCAGGCCCACCAAGATGGCATGCAGATGAAATGGGAAGCATTACTAATCTCTCCTTGTTTGTGTGTTTCATCACAGAGATGAAATTTGTGAGCCATGTATGACTACGTAGGACATATAGGGAAGAAATTCAGAGGATAAACATGTTACGGATGAGCTGTGAGGATTATCTAATTCCATATCCTGTGGCTGTAAAGCAAATGTAAATCTGATTTTTTTGTTTGTTTGTTTCTTAAGTGACTTTATTACTTACAGTAGCAGTCTGAATAACCCTTATATTCTGCTGATTTCTATGCTGAATGTCCTTCCTGCATGGCTACATTTTTGGCTTCTTCTGTAGCTGTTTTTATTACTGCTACTACTGGTGTTATTGAAGTAGTACTTTAATACCTGCAAAGATTAAGGTTTTGTTGTGTTATGTTCTCTAGGCAAGTTATGAAAATTACAATCCCTGTCCCCAAACCTGTGCTCTCTAGGCATATGTCTGCAGAAATTATGGCAAAGAGAGAGATTCAAAGGAAAGTTTGAGCTGGCAGTGCAGAAATTATGCTGGATTAAATAAGAAACAATCACAATACTCTAGCATTCTGTAATGCATATTCTTCTACTATGTTCTGTGCCTAACGAGTGCTTGGAGAAATACTGGAATTAGTGGTAAGGGCTTATAAACAAATAGCTGGTACACCTAGAATGCAAATTATAGAAAATAAGACTGGCAGCCTTGTCCAAAAAAGCTGGTCAGTGAAATATAAAGACAAATCATTCTCTGTGTTGTAAGGTTGCTGAGCGGGGTGCGTGTACTGTTATTTGGCAAATGACTTCAAGCAAGTTTCTTCACTTCTTGGAGTTCTAGTTTCTCTGTCTCTAAAAAAAACATAGAGATAGCTATCTTGTGTTATGACTGCTCAAGACAAAGCTGAATAAGGTGAAAGCAGTGTTATTGTTGTATCTTTATGGAATAACTCTCACAGACAGTTAAATAGTGGATTAGATGGATGTGATTTTAAAGTTGTTTGTTTCAATATGTGTAGGACTGTTGTCTAAAAACATGACTGTTCACACTTCAACTATAACATTTATATTATGATTTTTATATTTATATTGCAATCAAAACTCAAAATGAACTTCAAATTTGTTTCTTAAATGCTTGCTTCGTTTTTCTAGAACATGAATTCAGAAGAGATCCAGTTCTAAACTCTTGAGACTTATTAAAGTGCATTGATAATGTAGTCTAACATAATTTGGAAGTAATTTATAAAGTGTGTGAGGGCACAAACTTGGAGACTAATGATTACATTTTTCAAAGGTGCAGTCATGTTAGTTGTACTTAGTTTTCCCCTTTAGGGGAAGATTTGTAGGTAGAGCTATGCTGAATTCCTTTACCTTTTGTTCCTTGTTAAAGAACTACACAAACATATCAAGGAGCGTTTGTTGCTGTTAAGTTTGTATTTTGGTACAGGGATTGTTGTTACACTTCTGTTGTAGATGAGGACAGTTAAGCTGGTAATTTGTTTATTAGGATTCGTTTTTCTATGTTGGAAAGTGGGCTCACAATTTTATTCTTTTATTAAAAAAACAAAAAACAAAACAAAAACTTGACTTTGCCTGAGAAGTTCCCCCTTTTCATCATCACTAGAGCGTTACACTGTCTTGTACAACTGGCTATCGTTTCATGTTTTAACCTTTCGTAAGTGACAAAGTAGTGAAAATTGAACTCTGAACCTCTGAAAATATCCTTAGAAGTATTGCATCTCATCTCGTTTTTCATGTTTTGTGAGTTGTTTGCCATGTACATTATTACAGAAACTGCAGTGATCACACTCTTAATAGTACTCATTAATGATTACAGTAGCCTTAAGCTATTTTCTTTACTAATCTTTAAAAGAAAAACCTCTCATCAGGTGTGTCACTAAAAGATAAAGTGCTGGACAAACAGACAACAGTATGCCTTCCTAAGCAAACTTGTGATGTTTTGCTCAAAGAGGGCCCCCATGGCAGGATTGATTTAGGGTGCTGCCAGTATGCTGTGGAAACCAGTGAATGTCAAAGCAAGCTGCAAACCTGATGCATCAGTGTTACTTCTTAGTAGCTCGAGCTTTCTAGAGGAGAAGTTTTCTTTTTGACGGAGTGGTCACCTCACAAATACAGGGCTCGTGTCTGCTGCTATTGGGTAGCGAGGTCTTGCTCAGCAGCTCTCCTGTGAACCTCCTCTCTCACGCTAAGAGTGTTGCTCCTAAACCTAGCGGAACATAAAGACTACAGTATGGAAAAACTCTTCTGCGGTGTCGGAGTTAGTTTTGTACCAGAACAGAACTGGACATTGCTGCAGAAATTCATTTGATCAATTCTTGAAGTTGTTACATCTTTATCTCAAAGGTGTGCTGTGAATATGTCATGGCATCTTAGCAGTGTGATACTCAGAAACGTAACACAGATTTGTGATAAAACAGAAAAAGAGGAAAGTTTCTTCTGGAACGGAACTCCCAAAGAGCTCCAAAAGCGCTAACATATTTGGTTATATTTTTAAAGAGAATATTCTTAAAAATGCTTTTGTACTTCAGGGTCACTACTGGTGACTTTTTGTGGTGGTTTTTGGTGTTAATTTATTTTTGACCTTTGTAAATTTAAAAGAATAAATCATAAAATGAGACTTATTTTGCAATAATTAATCTATCTACATCCATGATACAATACTATGTTAATACTTACGACTGAATTTCTGATAACTGTTCATACAAGATGTAGAGACCTACAAACTTTCTTGCTTTATGACTGCTATGCTTTTAAAGTTGAAGGGCTTTTTTCTTTTTTTCCTTGCAGAGCTCAAGGCAACAGATGAGCTGTGAAAGAGAACAACTAAGGGTAAGTCCAACAATATGCAAAATGTTATTTTTCTTTATTATATGAAGCAGAATCTTATTTGTGCCGTTGACAGACAGATGGGTGTGACGCCCTACTAGAGGAGCGTCTGGGTTTCTTTCGGATTCAGGAATTAGTTGCACTGAACTCGAGAGATCATCATTTGTCAAGTATGAGAATTAGAGATAAGAGATTATAACAAAGCTAAAAGTATAGTAAAGCTAGAAATATAACAGACCTGAAAATATATTATACATATCAGAGCTCTACAGTTAAATCATGGGTGCACAGTACAGTGACTGCTCTCAACTTTTATGAACCACCTTTCTGGTATAGTTTTCCCTGGATTCTCCTCTCCACACTGTTGACATCAAGGGCGTCCCTGCTAAAGGGGTAGGTCCTTGGGTCCGCAGGCCAGCTGACGGTGGGTACAAGTCCACATCAGTGTATGTGGCTTACTTTCTTTTATGGCCAATGCCATCCCACGCAAAAGCTGTACGGCCTCAGTCAATAACAGTATGCACATCAGCAGATGAGCCCATGCTCAGCCCACAACGGTGCTCCATTGGTAACCATACACCCATTAACAGGTCACTCTGTGGGGAACTGCACAGCACCGAAATGTTTATGGTGTGCGTCTGTGGTGTCACTTCTCCTTTGTCTGGGCTTGTCAATCGTGGAGTCGTTGGAGGGTTAGGGTTGCAGTTTTTTTATTTGAGACGAATGTGTTTAGCTCAGCTAATTTCTTCGTTGTTGATAAGTACGGTATATATCCAAATACAAAACAGTTCTGGTAGATACAGGGTTTTACAGGGTTTGTTTTCCCATGATTTAGCTGGATTTGATAGTAAATACCTCTGTTAGAACTTGCTGGACATTCATTGTGCTCTTTTTATGTACAACGTGAAGATTTAGTAATGGTAGAAGTCACTACATTTTTCAGACTCTCTTCAGTACCCGATTGTTCTAAACAAGAAGACACTGACCTTTGGCTTGTTTTAGTCTATTTTCAGATAGAAATTAATGCTAAGAACCTGAGGAAACTGGCAGAGGAGGTCCAGGTGGTTTAGGGTGTACAGTCTGGTTGTATTCAGTCTCTCTATTTTATTTTGCCTTTTTCCTACAGTAAAGTACGAATATTTTAAAGAGGCTTCAGTCCCCACTCGCTTTGAATGTTACTTGCGCCAATATCTCTGCAGATGCTTTTTCAGCACAAGTATTGCCTTGTACAACTGATTGATTCTCATACTTGTGTGGAGAGGCACTAGAGTTTTTCAGAAAAAAGCTTTTGGCTCCTCTAGGTGTTGCTTAACGGAGTTACGTTAATTACACCACATTTTAGGTATTTTCTTGCAAATCCCATATTGAAGTTGAGCGAGAGAGTCAGGTGCAAAGGAAGCATACTCTGAAGTTTTTATTCTAAAAATATTTTTGGAAATGGGAATGGCAGCATTTCTTGTTTACTAAACATCAGCAGTGCCTGCATGAGTTGCAAATATAAAGAATATTCTGTAGTCTTAAAGCAAGTTATGCAGCGTTCTTGAGCAAACATTCATCCGTTCATTACGTTCACCTCATCAACATATCAAGATGCTTCAGCTGATCTTCATGTTTGCAATATGAATTTTAGTAAACAAGTTATGCAAGAATTATGCCCAACGTATTGTCCTTGATTCTTTCCTTGACGATGTGACTGCATTGCTATTGTACTGAAACTGGAGTGAAGATGCTTTCTTTTATCCATAGTAATGTCTCAACAGGGCAGCTGTCAAAGTTAAAATATTGCTGTGCTACTTGAAGGACAGTCTTTTCATGACGTAGTAGTGCCTTAAGAACTAAGAAAGTTTTCATTTATTTTTATTGAATTTTCTCTTTTGAATGAAGAAAGGAAGAAAAACAACATTTTGAAATGTAAGTGGGGTGGAGGCCCCCAATTCTTTATTCAAGTAAATATGTGTCATTTTACTAATTAGTGGATAAAATGTGATACAGTGATAGCTTTCCTGTATCCTTCTATTCCAGTATTACAAATTTATATATATTAGCAGTCAGCTCAGTGCTTCTAATGCCTTTGGTTTCAACCTGTGGCTTTTTCAAGACAGCTTTGGAAAAAAGCCATATATTTAGCCTATTAAGGTTAAGTGCATCTCCTTCCACCACTGTTGTGATATTCCTGTGAGATGAGATATAGGTATTAGTTTAGAAAAAGCCAGGTCTGTTCCTCACCCTGGGATGTAGTGAGAACAGTACACCATGCAACAGTGCTGGAGCTTCTGGCTGTAGTGCATGGAAAGAAAGTAGCCCATGTGGAGTTTCATCAGAGCAAGATGTTGGTAGCAGCAAGGCCGGTGCCAAGGGCAGCCCTTCCCTTCCCCACCGTGGTTTTCAAACCCCTGAACCTTCCCCAGTGCACAGAATCTATTCTCGTTCACAGCAGCTCGTCCACTGCGGCAGAAAGATCACAGTGAAAAGTCAGTATACTGCGTGGAGATGTTTTGGTCGTAGTTCAGTGCTGACACCTTTGAGCTTCCTCAGTCACGCTGAGGATAGTCCCTCTGAGCCTGGCTCTGAGCAGCCGCTTCTCTCGGGGCAAAGCGTTACCACTCTCCCGCTCTCGGGTTTGTCCCTGGTGGGCAATACGCTTGATTTGACTGATTAATAGGCTGAGTTAGGTTTGTCAGGCCTGCAGGATTTCCCTTTGGGGTTTGTGACCTATCACGAATACTTGGACTTGAGGCAGTCTCTTCACAACGAAATACCGTTTCATCCCAATGGAAAGAATTGAAGTATAACAAGAGAGCAGGATTAAAACAGCAAAATGCCAACATCCATTTGTGTTTATTAAAGTCAAGTAATACTAGATTATTTAAGCATCTTACACCTTCCTCATTTCTGAATTTGAGATGACAACTTGTCTCTAGTAACCACTTCTCTTTTTGGATTCCCTAGTCGTTCCTAGGCCTACAGGTCAAATTGTTTGGTTTATCTTAGCATAAGAAGTTAAAATAGTTTTAATACTACTTGCTCCTCACATAATTTTTCAAATATGAACAAATGGTAAGGCGGTGGAAGCCAGGCATTCAAGAGAGATTTATCTGTTTCCTGCCCTTGTGCCAATGCCTAAGTTAAACTTTGAAGAAATCTCATTCTGGCAGGTAGAATGTATTATGTTGTATCACAGACATCTATGTCTTATGGGCTCATGAGAGGATAAAAATTTGACTTAGTCTTTTTGATAAAGCATTGTTGTAATATACAAACACAAAGGCAACGTTAAGATTTGTGTTTTTCGTCTTAGATCAGAAAGTAATTGACTTGTCAGAGAAAATCTAAGGAAGAGAAAGAACATACTTTTCATGAGACTTGATTCATGACAGATGAAAATTTCCAAAACCTTCAAAAATTAAATGTGAAGCAAGCTTTTCTAAATAAATATCAGAAACATAATGGGAGGTGAGTCAAAAGAATGAAAATGATGGTTTTTTAAAAAAGTAAAGAATCATTAGTATGTTTATGGTAAACAATCTTAGTCTTCCGTTCTGATATTTTAAATTTTTGTGTAGTTTACAATTTATCATCCCTTTCACACTGTAAGATGCAATAGTTTGAAAAGGGAACGACTGATTTTTGTTCTGTCATGCACATCATTAACAAAACTGTTAATAACATATTCAGAACTTGAAATGATGTAAAAGGAAAATGCAAGTGGTTTGATTCCATCTATCAAATTGATCTTGCAGGGCAGATAGTAAACTGGGCCACGCTTAGCTCCTTTAAAAGAAGTGTTATTTCAGTTGAACGTCTCCTTTTGCAGGAGTTTGCAGATATTTTAGGTTAGCACTTCAATTAAGTATAAAAACATATTCATTGAAGAGTCTCCATATTACGCAAATAGTTCAGAGAAGGTACAAATACTAATGGATGTGGATCAAGCGTTCCTGTGCCCACCTTTTTGGTGTGCGTCACACTCTATTTCAGGTGGGAACACACTCTCCATTTAGAGAATGTAAACTCAGTTCAACACTTCAAGTGTGAACCTCGTTCACACTCCTTCAGCTCGATAAGTCCTTTCTGCTAGTCAGGCACCAGCATGGATCCCAGACAAACAGACATCAGGTCAAGGATGTGATGCCTCTCAGTAAGGCACTCCATCACAAAAATCAGTAGTACTGCCAGGCACGGTGAAGTTGGCTGAATCCGTGCCCGTACCATAAAAATAGGTCACTATTCAACATGTATTAATCTGATACACTTTAAGAAAGACTTGTTTAAACAATAATTGTGCAACTAAATAATAAGACGTGGTTTGGCGACAGTAAGAAATATCTGAATGTCACCATAATCGTTTACTCAGGCATCCTTCTCACCTTGTATCTATTGGATTGGCTTTTAACTTCTAAATGCAAAGCAGAAACTCTCTGCTCTGGAATAAAGCGTTTAGCATAATGAAACTCATATTTGGATTGGAGTCTCTGGCCATTGTGTGTTATATATGTACAATAAATGTTAATTATAAGAATTGAGCAAGTCTGTATATTTTAACCCTTCCCTACTCAAGCTTTGAAAATTACGCTGACCATAAGGCAGTAACTTACTCACCTTGCCAACCTGTTACAGTTGCTGGCTAGAACTTAATGCTTATACCTAAATTATTTAAATGACAATTCATACAGTCTGTACACTGGTTGCAGTGGAAAGTTATGGGAATTTGATCTAACACAGCGATTTTTTTTTATTCTTCCCATTTGGGTATATAACACAAGGAGACTTTGGTATTCCTTATTTCAAACTAATTTAAAAGAAAATTTTATAAAACATTAATGCCATTCTTTAAGTTTTCCCTTCTCTTGAAAATGATTCTATTACCATCTATTGCCTTGAATTTTCTTTTTTTTACATAATTCTTTTATTTCTTTTCTTTTTGCTTTCTAATCTGCCTTCATTCAAGTCAAGTTGTACTAAAAACTAATAAATGTGTCTTTGAAGGGAAATTGACCCATCAG